CCCCCCCCCCCCCCCCCCCTTTTTTTTGCAAACTAAAACAATAACAATGAATTAACTACAAACAAATTAACAACGACTCAATGAATAAGAAAGACAAGACAAACAATGAAAACAAGGATTAAGACTCAAAATAACAAGAACGCGAAAAATGAAGAAATAAAAAAATTAACAAAACGCGGAAAACTAAGAAACACAAGACTCAATGAAAGAAAACAAAAGATATAACATGTTAATTGGAGCCTGTGCTCTAATACCAACTGATGCAACTCTCGTAGCAGCGTTGACAATGAAACCCACAACAAGATTGTTCCAAAAACCCAGAAAAGTCAAATTAAAGGTTTAGAGATTGAATCCCAAATTAATGAACCAACAAATCCAACAAGAACATTGCTTGAAGGACCCCTTGATTACATAATCCAAGACTCACACCCGAGTCGTAGAATGCCACAAAATTATGACCCTTGATAAGTTCAATTGATCAATGAAGAATGGAGAAGAAAGTACAATAGTCTCTCTATTAAAATTCTCTCAATATAATGTATAAAGTGCCTAAGTTTACAATGAAAGAAAATAACCTATATTTATACTCGTTGCCAAAAAAACTCTATAATCTAGTAAAAACGTGTAAAGACTCGTCAAGATTACAAAAATATGGATGGAAAATAAAATCTTACAAAATATGGAAAAAACTGAAAGGAAACTTTTGCTCAAATTTTGTAACATGTGTACATTTCCATTCGGTCGCATGGAAGGAACCTTTAGAGCCCAAATGTTCCTTGCCTGGGTGCGTGTGGCCGCAGGCACATTACAACCATGCTGCCGCATGGTTGCTCATTCGACCTCTTTTTTTGTCAACTTGTATTGAGTTGATCCACTTTGATTTAGTCCTCGATCCGAACATGAAACTTGCCTCGATTTACGTTTCGAACGTCATCCCGTCAATAGTTGATTGAACTAGTAACCCCATCGCTAGTTTCACCCACTTTCCTCTCGATCGCGTCATCAGTCCACCTTCGATTATCAACTGGTCTCGTTCCGCACTAGTCTTCGTCGGTGATGTGATCCGAGGCATAAGGCAGAACCGGACAGAATCTAGGCGATTTCGAGAGTTTCCTTAATGAATTACAATTGCAATCTTTTAGTTTTTTTAGGCATCTTAGAGTTATGTTTTCCTTTTTAACATAGGATTCAAATATTTTATTCTGTTTCCGACTTTATTCTAGTCTTAGTATTAATAGGAAATTTATTCTACATTGTAACGAAGACTTTTATGATGAATTGAATGAAATTTTTCCTCTCGAAGCTTTTTGTTACAAAATATCAAACTTACCAAGATTTTATGTCTTGTGGCGTTCAAACAAAATATCGGGTTGATTTCTTTGGGTTGTGTAATCAAAAGATCATTCGCATCGCTATTACCGTTGGGTTGTTTGATTCATTAATTTTTTGAATCAAATCCACAAATCCAGGTATAATTTTGAGGCTTTGTGATCAAGAGGTTGTTGGTGTAATATACCTTTAATTGCTTAGTTCATCGATTAGAGATTAAATCCTAAACCTTGATCGTCATTTGGACGTTCTTGAGATCTGGTGTCAATTCTTGTGGGTTCGATTGCAACCTTGCTAACCGAGTTTGTGATGTGATCCAGATTGCGCCTCAAATTATGAAATATTTGATGTCTATTGGCGTGAGATTGAAGCCAAGAATTGAGCTTAATCGGAGGCCGATTGGGGTTGCTCAGGCTGTCAATCTCATGTTCAAGGTATGCAGATCAAAGAGGTGGAGGTTGGCAACCCAAAATGTGGATACTAATTTTAATTAATATATGGATAATTAATTTTATATGTATTGCATATTATAATGAACTCATTTATTGCTTGTCAACTCACTGTGAATGGCCATAAGTATGCAAGTGTCATTTTTTAAAATTCCATTTTTCTTTTCAAATTTATTTTCAATCGCACATTTAATGGTTCCATAACTTGTATTAACTTTTTTAACTGCATATTTTATCAAATTTTATTAAATTTTACAAAAAATATAAATTTTAACCAAACCAACCATACAAGGACTTCTGAATTGTTTTTTTTTCTCCTACGAATTTTTAACGGATCATAACTCAATAACATATTTGGTGTATGCTATAACCTAAGTACCTAACTTAATATTTATTAATTACAGGAAGAACAAAGGTAACACAAGCATAATATAAGTGGATGACTCAGAAGATCGTACACTTCATTACTTTTTTGTTGATGACAAAAATATGCAGTTAATTTAGACAACAAGATCTACAAATACCTTTGGTTAGTGCATGCATTAGTGCTGTTATATGTTCCTCTTCTTACCCAACTCGCTCCATTAGGTAAGAATTATACCTACACCCCCACCCCACTCCCACTCCCACTCCCACTCCCACTCCCACTCCCCTATTAATTCTAGAAGGATTATATTTTTGGATTTTGAATTAATTTATTGGAAATAATTTTATATAGCACCAACGTAAATAGCATGCAACGATAATTATCAGACTCGACCCGAAAAAATCAATGGGTCATGGACCTTGGCTAAATTGGTGGACCAGTTGTTCAACCTATGGATCATTGCTAGACCGTAATATTTATTGAAAATATTTTATAAAACAAAAGATAACAATTTATTAAATTATATATTATAAATATATATTCCATGTCAAATGGTTAAGGTTGTGATATCTCATGTCAAATGCCTAGGTTTGAAGCTCTCCCTCTTCATTTGCTGAATGTACTAATTAGAGCAATTGGATAGTGCCATCCGATTCATCGATTATATGATTGATTCATCGATTATATGATTTATTTACCGTAATCTATCAATTAATGATATTTACATACTCACCACTAAACTATGCCTTATACATAGGTTTTTGCCATTGATATTTACATTCTCACCACTAAACTATGCCTTATACATAGGTTTTTGCCATTGTTTTAGTCTCCGTTTCGTAAATTGTAAATATTTTATAAAGAGAAATAATATTGGTTTTGATGAAATATTTGAATAATAATGAAAAATATTTACAAATGTGTAATTGAAATTAATTTTTGTCATTGACTAAAATTTTTAACCTATTATAATTTGGCAGCGAAACAAAGGCTTATGGTTGCTAAACATGCTTGTGCTACATAACATTAATCTTATTTTATTATATCATCTTAGTTCTCGCATCATGATTACAATATAAGAGCATTTTTAACAGACTCTTTATTTTTAAAGATATTCATAATGAATAATATGTTTATATTAAAAAGTAAAATTTTAACATACTCCAACAAAATTTGGCAACTCAAAAATAAATCAAGAATCCTAAGTTTTTGGAACAGTCGATCAATATTGCTCTTCTTTTTCATGTCATTTTCTTTAACAATTATGTTAGATAAAAACATAAAATTAATATTCTTATGGAAAATGAATATTTATAAAATTAAGAATTTTTTTTTTGGATGAAATTAAATTATTCTCAAATTAATTAAAGATTTTATGGACTAAAGAGACGTTAGATAAAAACATAAAATTAATATTCTTATGGGAAATGATTATTTATAAAATTAAGGTTTTTTTTTTTTTTTTTTGGTGAAATTAAATTATTCTCAAATTAATTAAAGATTTTATGGACTAAAGAGAAAACGTCTATAATAGTCGTTTCTTGAAAGCCTAGACGAATAGGAAGTCTGTCTTCCCATCTTATTTCCTAACATACATTCCCAAGCCCAACCAATTTTACAACCAAAAAAGGGGGAATAATTGATTTAGAGATGGAGGTATAATTTTGTCATGCTCGGCTTGCAATTTTTGGTGGGGTCAGCAAAGCCAACCTCTTTCAAAAATATAATAGTTCGACATGACCTGACCCCTATCTATGGATTCACATTCATAATTTATTATGGTATAATGGGGTAATTATTTTCCATAAAAATTGAGAATTTTATTTGTAGTATAAACAAATTCACGAGTAACTTCAAATATTTACTTGAATTATGCCTTCTTAATGAAACATAACGTATTTGCTTATTTAACATTTTCACTGTCGATAGATTATGCATTCTAAAACTTTTGCATCACAAAATATAGAACAAAGTAATGCCATTGCTATATATCAATGGTGGTCCCAAATCCACTGCTGCCTAGACTCTTGGAAGCATCGATGGTGCTAATATTATGAAGATTTTGTTTGATAAAGTTTTCATTTAGCCCGTTTGTCTAATATTGAAGTAGAAAAATGAGTTTGCAATCGTGAATTTTTTAAAACACACAAAATTAAAAAAAAAAAAAAAAATACAGTGCAATTTCATTTCATCAGACTAAGATGGGTACAACTTTTGATCCATGAACGGCCACACTTTGTTATTGCACTTCACCAACCCAATAGTTCAAGCATTCTCTACCTCCATCACGATCAAACAGGAAAAATCATACAAAAAGTAAAGCATCAGGTATCAAAAATTTCCACCCATTATCACCAATTCGAAAATTGAAAACTTTTCTCCTTCATATCTTTTCCGGTTATACTTTTCTACGAAGGACAAACATAAAACAATAGCTCTACCCGAAAAGAAAAAAGAAAAAAATAAATGAGTATACAAAGACATAAACATATACATACTGACAGTAAAGCATTGAGTTTCAGCACATTTACACTGCACAATCACCAATCAAATTCAAAACATCCCTTTATAATATCTTTTCCATTCTCAATTCCAATTTCTTCGCCAATCACAAGCATAAAACAACTCGCTATTAATGGAAAAATCATACAAAAATACGGAGAGTGTGAGAGGTTTGGACCTGAGTAGCAAAATCTTCGAGAATGCCTTCTTTGCTAATGCCATGTGCGAGGCTTAGCTGTTTCCCGAACTCCATTGGAGAGTATATACCTTTACCTGCTTGAATGCATACAAATTTTGGAAGTTAGGGTTCCAGTTCTGCGATCTGAAGAAAGAAATCATGAAGAGAAGGACGAGAAAAAAACCGTAAAGCCCAAAAACATCTTGCCGATATGGAAACAAACGGTAAACCTATCCACCATACCTAGGATTCATAGCCAAAAAATCTGCACAAGATGTCAAGAAATTAGAGCAGAGAGAACTTTTTTTTTTTACACAATTCTTCCTTCCATTTAAAACAGGCTACTATAATATTCGGCCTAGCGGTGAAAGACATCAAAAAGAAACCATGAATTGCAAATTTTAAACACTACTATTGCATTTATTTTCTTGTAGTCGGACTTGAAAAAAAAAGGACTTTTTCTGCTCTCTTTAAGTCGGACATCAGAAAATGCTTCTCGAAGGTTAAGGGTGTAGTTTTGTTCCTTGAATTCTATCTCAAATAGCGTCAAGATTTTTGTTGAGTCCAATTAGAAACATCTATAGCCTCTTCCTTTCTACAATTTGCTTGTATCTAATTCCATCTTCAGGACATCTCCATGGGAATTCCTCGTACAGATCGAACTGCTACCAATTAGAGCAGAAAGAATAGCGAGAGAGAAAGACATACAAAAAGAAGGAAAAAAAAAATTGACAAGAAGATAAAAAAAATCTGCATAGTGCTTCGAATTTTTTTTATAATGAGTATGAGCTGGGAAAAGAAGTGGGTAGAGTTCATTTTGGGTAATACTTGTCATGAATGGGTAAAACCATTTATTAAATTAGCAATATCTGTTAGTTGTTTTCCAGGTCAAGAAGTTTTACACTTGGAGCTTATTAAAGCTTGAACATCATGATTGTTTAAACTTTTTGCAATAGACATTGTTTTATATAAGAATCTGCAAAAAAATTTAGGAGTTTCTAGACATTTGGTTAATTTCCACATTATGTCTATATATTTGATTGCTGAGGAATGTTACTTTCTTGTAATTAATTGCAGTTTTTTTCCAAATACAGAGAAATATGTTTCATTACTCATTGAAGATGATGATGCTGAAGTTGTAGAGAAAAGAAATAAGGATAATCTAATTAGTGCTGCAACAAGTCTACTCTTTTTTTTCTTTTTTTCATTTTTTTTTTTTTTTTGGGTTTACTTACAGGACCAAGTTTAAGAAGAGGAAACTTATAGGACCGGAGGTTGCTATTAAGGTCATTTCTTTGGCTCTGTCGAGCAGTTAACTGTAAGAATGAAGCTTGCTTGTTAATGCTTAAACGACATGAGTATTGACTTTTTCAGAAGTTATAATGGTGAATAAATACTGAAAGTGAATGGATGAATTGATCAATGGTTAAAAAGCATATAATTTGATAGTGGTTCAGTATTTATGTATTCTATTGTTCTTGTAGTTTAATATCATTTGTTTTTAACTAAACCAACTCAAGACTATTATTTGATGTTGACACTTAAGAAGGAAGTTTCTATATATCAGGAATTGATTATTAGCTAATTGAATATATTGATGAAAGTACAAATGCGATATGTTAGGCCTCTGTAGAAATAACCACTTGTCGTGCCTATATTATGCTATATACTGATACTGTCGACGAGCTACCCTAGAGAACTTGAAGAAGTCATGTTAGGTATTAAAGTAAATAAAACAAAATTGAAAGCTAAAGAAAGAAACAAAAATAATATAGAATAAGGTTTGTGGTTATGGACGTTGGAGAGTTTGACGCTAAGAGTGTGTTTGATTGACATGGAAAATATCACCTAGAAAAGAAAATATTTTCCATCTTTTGTGGAAAATAAAAATCACCTCTACCCAAAGAAAATATTTTGCTTAAAAACAAGGAAAATTAGGCATATTTTCAAAAGTTGGAAAATGTTTTCCATGGAAAAAAATAGCAATCAAACACTCCAAGTAGAAATTTGGGTGAAAAACTGATATTTTTCATGGAAAATAAATGTAATCAAACACACATTTGTCTCTCTTGGAAAAGTGAATAAAGCTCATAGCATTGTATTTAATATGTTAGGGTGATTACTCTTTAGCGTTGCGTTTAAGATATTATGGTGATTACTCTTTCGTAGAATAGGATGTTGAAGGAGAGATGTCGGATGATAGTAGCTTTTACTGTTTCTTAAACATTTATGATGAAAGTGGAAGCCCAAGTTTTCTATGCATCAGCCTCTTAATATACTTCTAATTTTAGATATTTACTTGTGCATCTATACAGAGAGAATAATACATGTAAAGGGAAGAATAAAGTTTTGGAATGGACAGAAAGTAATTACACAATTTGGGGATTTTTTTGAACATCAATTAATCCTAAAAAGGAAAAGGTAAAGAAGTAGAGTGCGAGAATTCGAAAAAAATGGGTAGAAGATAGTGACAAGGAACATCATGAAGAAAACTTGGGCTCAAACAAGTCTTGGCTCTTAAGAAGTTTATTGTGGGCTCAAGATACATAAAAATTCTCGTAAACAAAATAATTAAGAAAAAAATAGGTAAACCCATACGTGAGAAAGAATTATACTTAGACTTGAGCTGTGTGAGATGGTTAATTGAAGTTGTCAGAGAGAGAGAGAGGCCATGGCGCATATCAGTGCGAGAATAGTGATAGAAAATTTTAACAAAGCATTGACTCTGGCCATAAATGAGTGACCATCAATTCCATTTCAGATTAAACCATCAAATGTCAAAAGTTTTCCTCCGTGAGTACGAGGTTGTAAAATCCGAAAGCAATTTTTTTTT